ATTATGGATACAGTCTTGTCTCTCTACTATCTTTTCTAGTATTTCATCAGCCCTTTCTCATATCAAAGATTTTTAAAAAACAAGATTTTATAGCTGCAAAATGTTCTGTCATATTGCAGTACTGTAATTATTTAATCTTTCCCTGTTATTAGAGTCATTCAGCAAATGTGAGTAGTGCTCTTGAAAGTGCTAGGAGATGAGGATTCACTGATGATTGAAGACAGTCCTGTTCTGAGGAATCTAAGACTCTGGTGGCAGAGACTGAATGTTGAACATTACAGTGTGGTAAGGCTGCATGAGGGGGATACGCAGGCAACTGTCAGCTTGTAAGTGGCCACTTAACCCATCAATAGGTGAGGATGACATGGCTCAGGAAGAGCAGGTGGGAAGCGAAGAGAAAAAGCCCAAGGATGGCACCCTGAGAAACACATTTTTCAAACTTAAACATTAAAATCACTAGGTTCCCATTTCTAACCATACACTCCAGCTCATTTTTCTGTAGGTGCTCAAAACAGTCAAGCCGGAACCACTATTCTCCTCCCCACCAAATCTCTCACCCCTAAGAAGCTAAGCACATGGATGTGGGTTACAAAATTAGATAGGAGGTTAGAGAGGTTGCTGAGAAGACAAGATGCCCTGGGGGAAGGCAAAGCTGGGGACATCACCAAAGCCCAGGTCAGCGTCCAAGGAACCACACAGGTGACAGAGATTCGCCTGTTGAGGAGGTGTCCTGATACTGGCTTGAAACTTAAAATTGACCAATCCTGGAGGGGTTCAGTTTGTCAAAGTTAGCAGGTTTTTACGCCGTGGGCTCATTAACCCATGCTAAAGCACCTGCTGTGTTTTTTCCTTCTCTTTTAAAAAGTTACGCCTCTTCTCCTTGGTGGAGTTGGTTCCATTGTATGGGACTTGCTCATCTTCCCTTCTATCATTGTCTGATATAGCCTGGGAGATAACTGTGTCATTGGACTTTTGTTCTGGGATGGCTTCTAAACTGAATATATGTGGCATGGTTTGCCACATTTGCAAAACTGGGAGCCCACCTGCCTAAGAACCGACTCCCTCCTCAGATTCCTTAGCCTGTCCCCCTGCGCTCCCTCTTCTCTGCTGTAACCACCCTGAGCTAGGTCTCCATTTTCCATCCTCTGCCATATGGTGCTTTACACGTAGGTGCAGCCACTAACCACAGGTTCTGTTCTTCAAGCCCTTTCCCTCAGAGCTCATTCTAGGTAGAAGCAAGAAGGGATGGGCAGGCCATTCCAGGACCCTCTAAGTGAGGATTATTAGAGGGAAGCACAGAGGAAATCCATGGAGATGGCCACAGAAAGATTCGTGATAGAAAACTCAAAATGTTAGAGTTAGACTTAGGGCATTTCTTTTATTAATCAATGTGTGTGTGTGTTATGTGATTAGGATTATACTCTATAAAGTATCTGAGAAACCTATCAGCATTGACTCTAGAGATGAGCAAAATACTTAGCACATTTTGTGGGTGAATGCTACTTTCCTGACAATGTGTTGACACAAGAAAACCTGTAGAGAATTTTTATGAGAATTTTTGAGTCAAACTAAAGTCATGCTGGGCAAGATCTCAAATGCTCTATGGAAACAATAGGTTTGCAGCTTCTTTAATGCATTTGAAATAAAGGAGAGAATGTAAGGAAGATTACATGGAAATGGAAAAAAGCAAGGTGGGTATTGTATTACAGAATAGTTAACAAGATCATGTGCTTTCTTGAGGGGTAATACACCCTTTGAGGGGTATCACTTCAGGTATGTCAAAGGTCTGTTAACCTAGATATACAAGAATAATGGACAGGGCTGGATTAAAAACCTTTTACTACATAAATTATATAGGTCTTGGGCGTGACTACCCATCATGACGTGCCCTGTTAGGAATTTATGATCAGATCGCCCTATAAAGTTACTTTCCATAGAGCCCATTTTTCTCATCCACACATGCTTCTTACAAGTCCTAGAGAATCATCAAAGAAAAAGTATAACATATGGGTTTACTACCTGCAGGTAGTATCCTTTTAAGTATTCATTCATTCATCTATTTAAAAATAATCCTTGGGTGTCTACTGTGTATCAGGCCTGTGCTAGACACTGGGATACGGCCTGGAGCAAAAGCAGACCTGGTTTCTGCTCTCCTGGAATTTAGTTTATCTCTCCAGAGACAGGAGCAAAAGAAAGGGAATGAAGATAAAGAGCAATTTTAAGATTGAATAAAAAGAAAAATTGGACTCCTTCCACCTGGTAAAGTAGAAAAAAGACAAATGCGAAGGGAGGGAGTGACTGGGTTGGATTGGGTAGACAGGAACACTGCAACAGAATCCATGCTTAATTCCACGGAGAGGCAGCAAATAGTGAAGAAAATGACTGCTAAGGATGCCGAGCTAGAATGTGGGGACCTTCAACTGCGAAAGACTCAAACCTACATGTTTTTCGTTTTGAAGCTTTGTGGACTTGAGAAAACCTTAACTCAATAAAATGCCACAGAACATTTTCAAACTTTAAATTTAACATAAGAGTCTTGATATCGGGATGTCTGTGCATGTGGCACAACACTTTCCAGAACCACTGTGCTGTCTACCTACCAAATGGTAGAGCGATTTCTATGAACATTATTAAATAGACTGGTCTATTGCAGATTTTTCCAGTTCACCTCTCAAAACACCATCGGCCTCTTGGTGCGGTACTACAGATTGCCCCGCAGGGGCAGCAAAGGATCGAGAAGATAGTAGGATTATCAGGGAGCAGAGCAAGGGAGCTGAGCCTTTCCAGCTCGTCCCTCCGTGGGGCGGGGGTCCTTTGGATACGTTGTAAAACAATGTTGGAGCAGAGACAATTTAGAAGCAAGTCAAGGATCAATGAAATCTGGAAAGCATCTCGAGAAGGCAATATTTCATGCCGTAGCCACCAAGCACATGGGGTTACTGAGCACTTGATATGGGGCTAGACTGAATTGAAATGTGCTGTGAGTGTAAAATACAAACTGGATTTTAATTAGTACTAAAAAGAAAAATGTGTGAAATATCTTGTTAATAATTTTTATAGTGATTTCATGTCAAAATGATAATATTTTGGATATTTGGGGTTAAATAAAATATTAAAATAGCTAGTTTTTATTTTTAAAAACATGGTTACTAGAAAATTTAATATTTTATATGTGGCTCTGATTACATTTCTATTAGACAACACTAGCTCTAAAAATATTCCAGTTTTGGTGTCCTGAATGTATTTCTTGATGTAAAGATTATTTCAGAGAGTGATGCCTATTTGATTTGACTTTAGTTGTCTATTTATTTGGAACGGAAGTGCATTATAGTCTGAAATTATAATATTAAGTTGTTTATTAAGTCCCAGTACACAGATAATCTTTGAATTATGTAACACATGTTAAGAAAATGTTCTTTCTTGTCTTATATTAAAGCTCCCTTCAGGGGTTTTAATAGGATAAAAATCCTCTGTTTTCTCAGAAGTCTAGCAAATAAGAAGGTGACCAATCATGATAATGATTTCTAAATGAAGAAAAGTGATCTGATATGTGGCTTTATAAAGACGATGTTTATGTAAGCTATTGGGAGGAGAGGGATAGGAAGGGCTCTTGAAAATGAGAGATTATAGTATCACAATGGATTCCTGAGAGACATTTTGCTATCTCGTTTGAAGATTTTTGAATATAGGGTAGATTCTTTGTGCTTTTGATCTTGATTGAATTAAATTAAATTCGGAAGAATTTAACCTGGTGCTATTTGAAGAGATTATCCTAGTGCAGCTGTTGGCGGCTGTCAAAACTGTCTACACATTATAATTCCAGCTGCCCAGACCACACCTGGACCAATTAAACCTAGGGATGAGTCCCAGGTATTTGCCACAGGCAACCAAGGTGGAAAAACACTGGAATAGTTAAAAGCATGAGTTCTGTGGTCAAACTGCTTGGCTTCAAATCCCAGTCCAGCCACTTTCTAGCCACGTGACCCTGGGCAAGATGCTTAACTTCCTAAGAATTCTTGTAGAAAAGAAATGAAGAAAATAACATACTCTTATGGGATTGTCAAGAGGTTTAAATAAAATAGTCTATGTAAACCACTTAATTGAAGGCAGGCATGAAGTTCTAAAGCAATTATGATTAACGGCTTTCTTATTTCATATTAATTCCTCTGAAAGACATTCCCAGCCATGGTTCTCCCGTCTGACACTCGTTCACCTAGTAGGTTTCTTGTATTATGCTACAACATTCCTTCATTCATACATGAATTCATTTTACAGGTATTCTTTAAGCATCTACTTTAACTACGAGTATGATAGAAGACACAGAAGGAGTACACGCACCTGCCTCACACCTTTGAAATTTAATTTCTCTCATGTGTCTGTGTTTTCCCAGTTAGATAATAAGCATCATGAGCTATGAGACCATGTTTTACGACTGGCCAGCCTTGGCACCCAGCACTGGGGGCTACGGATTGGATACTGCAGGGCACCAGTGTTGGAAGACTGGATTGTTCTAGTTTTTGCTTTGCCACTTACAGGCTGAGTAATAGGGAGCAACCCGCTTTTCCTCAATAGGTGTGTTTCCTCCTTTGCTATGTGGAGATAATCAATTCATGACTGTTGTGAAGATTACACGTCAGACCGACCATGCGCTGTGGATACAGCTTCTGTAAATTCCCGCTAACAAGCCCTCAGGAAGCAGTGCCGCTCGATCCCACCAGGGGGCAGCAGGTTGCGGCATAGCTGGCCGCCGCAGTCGACGTCAGGACAAGCGCCCCGCCCCGTGACCGTGACCCAGGGGAACGCGGGGGCGGTGTCCAGCCCCGCTGGCTTGCAGCGCTGGAAGAATGCGCTGTGGATATGGCTTGTGTAAATTCCTGCTAACAAGCCCTCAGGAAGCAGTGCCGCTCGATCCCACCAGGGGGCAGCAGGTTGCGGCATAGCTGGCCGCCGCAGTCGACGTCAGGACAAGCGCCCCGCCCCGTGACCGTGACCCAGGGGAACGCGGGGGCGGTGTCCAGCCCCGCTGGCTTGCAGCGCTGGAAGAGTCCGGGGCGGCGTGATGAGTGCTGAGGCCTCAGGCAGCGGGCTGGAGCTTCGGGAGCTCGTGCGTGAGGCGGAAACCAGCTTGCTCGAGTGCAAGGTGTGCTTTGAGAGGTTCGGCCACCGCCAGCAGCGGCGCCCGCGCAACCTGCCCTGCGGCCATGTGGTCTGCCTGGCCTGCGTGGCCGCCCTGGCGCACCCACGAACGCTGGCCCTCGAGTGCCCCTTCTGCCGGAGAGCCTGCCGGGGCTGCGACACCAGCGACTGCCTGCCAGTGCTGCACCTCCTGGAGCTTCTGGGCTCCGCACTTCGCCCGGCCCCGGCAGCCCACCGCGCCGCCCCCTGCGGCCCCGGGGCCCTCACCTGTCACCACGCCTTCGGAGGCTGGGGAACCCTGGTTAACCCCACTGGGCTGGCGCTGTGTCCCAAGACCGGACGGGTAGTGGTGGTGCATGACGGCAAGAGGCGGGTCAAGATCTTTGATTCCGGGGGAGGATGCGCTCATCAGTTTGGAGAGAAGGGGGAAGCAGCCCAGGACATTAGGTACCCACTTGATGTCACCGTCACCAACGACTGCCATGTGGTTGTCACCGACGCTGGCGACCGCTCCATCAAAGTGTTTGATTTTTTTGGCCAGATCAAGCTTGTCATTGGAGGCCAGTTCTCCTTGCCTTGGGGTGTGGAGACCACTCCTCAGAATGGGGTCGTAGTAACTGATATGGAGGCAGGGTCCCTGCACCTTCTGGAAGTGGACTTTCTGGAAGGGGTCCTCCGAAGAACAGAAAGGTTGCAGGCTCATCTGTGCAATCCCCGAGGGGTGGCGGTGTCTTGGCTCACCGGAGCCATCGCGGTCCTAGAGCGCCCCCTGGCCCTGGGGACCGGGGCCTGCAGCACCACGGTGAAGGTGTTCAGCGCAAGCATGCAGCTAATCGGCCAGGTGGATTCCTTTGGGCTGAGCCTCTTCTTCCCCTCCGAAATAACTGCTTCTGCTGTGACCTTCGATCACCAGGGGAATGTGATTGTCGCCGATACTTCTAGTCAAGCTGTCCTATGCTTAGGGAAACCTGAGGAGTTTCCAGTACTGAAGCCCATCATCACTCATGGTCTTTCCCATCCTGTGGCACTGACCTTCACCAAGGAGAATTCTCTTCTTGTGCTGGACAGTGCAGCCCATTCCATAAAAGTCTACAAGGTTGACTGGGGGTGATGGGTCCTGGGTCTTGGAATCAGAAGCCCCGGAACTGCCACTAATGAATAGTTTAACCCTGGATAAATTACTTAATCTCATCTATCCAATAGGGATTATTATAACTGCCTGGCATACTTTCAAAGGCTGAGGTAGTTATTAGAGAATAAAAATGAAATCTACCAGTTATTGAATATGTATTCCTTGTGCTAAGAAATTGCAAATATTAGTTCATTTCACCCTTAAGAACTACCTAAAGAGGTAACTTCTATTGTTAATCCCATTTTAGAGATGAGAAAATTGAGACCGAGAGCTGAAGTGACTTACCGAAGGTCACACTTACTATAACAATCACACTGGAACTCAATTCTGACTCCAAAACCCTTTGCTCTTCAATAAGATAATAGATGTAGGGGGAAATATATGTGAATGTATATTGTTGCTATGTGTACACTATTTATAAGTAGCCATTTATTTTAGCTGGGTGCACAGATAAAGAAGACTTTATAGAAAGTTTAAGAGAAAAAGGGTTTGTGGTGGGCATCAATTTAGTTCAACTGGCATCTTCTCTGATGGCACATTGGATGGAGTTAATGTGGATCCCGAGTTACTTGAATAAGAAAAACAATTGAACTGCTTATTCAGAAGGTAAATGTGTCTTCTAGTACCTATATTTCCCCCAATGTAAACACTCAGGAAATAGTACTTGGTTGGTTGAGAAAGGCCTGTGTTTGTGTAAGCTGTAAACTACTGCAGAACACACAACATTTATACCAGTGTTAGAGGTCTAGATAATATTCCTGTTACGTGTTTATGCTAATACAGAGATAAGCCACCACAATTGGTTCACGGTAAAAATGATTTTGCTGGCCTTTTTATAATCAGGGGTAACCTGAAACACTTTTGTGATGGGGTTTTTCCTCTGTGAAATTTAAATTTGTCCCTAGTGCTGCAAACACTATGTACTCAGTTCATACTTCCCTTGATGCTAAGTCCGCATTTAGGCCACTGGTAAACCCTGAAATACTTCTTGAGTTGAACTGTATAGCCTTGACTCAAATAACACCTGCTTAATGTTGCAATTGATTAAACAAATGGAAATTTCAGGTGAAGTGGCCAGTTCTTTATAAGTTGTGTGTGTTTAGCTAGTGTAAACATCTCAGAGTTTAGGGCTATTGGAATAGAACCAAATAACCGGTACCTTAGAAGCATCAGCAATTTTTTCTCAGGGAGAAAATATTGGTTTTGAAAGATGAAAGTTTGCTTCAGGTAATAACTGATGCTTTATCAACAATGGTGTGCTATTATACCAAGAGTTTTAATAGATATAATGTACACACTAGAGACAGCCCCAAAGTTATGAGTGCAATATAAGTTTGTCCTTTGGAGCTAAAAGATAGAGCTTGGTTTCCACGTCAGTCCACAAAAACCCATTTTGCTTTGATGCTCTTGTCATATAGCACTAATAGTAAGATTTCGGGCCCCTGGACCACCATTTATCAGTGCATTCCAAACTGGGATTCTGGGGACAATCCCCTTCCTCCATGCTCACCCTACCCATAGAAATCACCTTAGGTTGGCGACTTCACAGGTAGTCTGCATTATATATAAAAAAAGTTCTCTCAGGTGGAGATATCAGTTCAGACTTGGTCATTTGCAAGTAGAGCCATTGTGGGTTGATCTTTAAAAAGTTGTCCCTAGGCATACTGACATTTTAATGGCTTTAGGGTCAGTGAGCCAATTCAAGGGACTTTCTCCTATTTGGAATTATCAGTGGCATCATCTTTGGCTATAGATCTGTGTGTATCTCTTTTTCAGGCAGCACTTGGAGGAAAGGTGTGGAACATGCAGCAAGTGTAGAGGTGTGTAAACAAGGTATTGCTTGTTCTCCATGGGTTACCCCACCAGAAGAATGGGTTGTGAGTCCCTGAGATGATGTGGGAACAAATCAGAGAGGTGATGACAAATGATTACTACTTCTCCTTGGTAGATTATCAGACTTAAGACACGTCACCCTGAACTCCAGCTTGCTAGAGGAATTGGAGAGTCTGAGATAGGCAGGAAGAAATAATGCAGCTGATAGTAAAAGGTTCCAAGGTGATAGAGGAAAGTTAGAATGATTCTCCAGAGACCGGAGACAAAAGGATGTGACTAGAAGTAAATAGAGAAGGAGAAGAAACAAGCTCTTCCTGAATGTCCTCCGTAATCACGTTCCCTTAGGCCAGCACTACCCACCATGCACCACCTGTAGAATCTACAAAAGCAAGCTCAGACACCGGCTCTCCCCTCTCGGCACTTGCATCACCTTCCATTGGTTCCAGTTTTGCTCAATTCCTGATCTTTGGATTATCTCCTGTTTTCAACCTTGTTGTGCCTTCTGGTTTTTTCAGTCTTTTTTCTTGACATTTTTTAAGGATCTTGGTCCAGATTCATAATCTCCCCTCTAGCAAGTCTCACTCTGGATACATCAAACCATTAGCATTTTGTTAGCACCTTACCTAGACCTTTCTTGGCCCCTCATCAGGTGTGGTGAATTATGCACCTTTTGAGGAAGAAGCAGTATATCCCATGCACCTCAGAAAGATGAAGAAGAGCCACTGATGATAGCTGATTTTATCATCATTACATCTGCCACAGAAAGAGGCTAGGTATATTGGTGTTTAGTGCTCCTAAAAGGGATACGCTATGGCAGTGTATCATGGTTAATAAGGGGATGAACTGTTTTCTTGAAGAATATGTAGAAAATATAACAAGGAGGTATCCAACACTCACGACAACTACCATACTGAAGAATCATGGTGTTTGCTGTGGCCACAGCTACTTCTAAGGAAAACTGCCCCTGTCACAGGTCTTGCTGATAAGCCTGCCCTCAGGCTTTTTATTCTACTACATGACCCCTCCCCCCATACAGCAATATCTGATATTTTCTACTACATGACCCCCCCACCCCAATACAGCAATAGCTGGTTAGATAGGAGTGCACACCTAACAGAACAGTTAACCCATCAATGTCCTACCAAACGTATTTATTAGACCAAGACTGGCCTATAAATTGAGGTGAAAAAGCTTTCTCATAAGGGGCAAGGAGATCCAGTTACAGTCATGTGCCACTTAAAGACAGGGACATGTTCTGAGAAATGTGTCATTAGGCGATTTTATGAATGTACAAACATCATAGAGTATACTTACACAAACCTACATGGTATAGCCTCCTACTATAATGGTGTGTGCTATGCTTGTAAATGACCTGCAGTACAGTACATTTGTTTACACCAGCATCACCACAAACGTGAGGAATGTGTTGCACTACACATTACCATGGTGATGATCTCACTAGGTGATAGGAATTTTTCAGATCTATTTCAGTCTTATAGGTCCACTGTCATGTATGTGGTCCCTCATTGACTGAAACATCATTATGTGGCACATGACTGTAGATTCTTGTCCCTGAAATTTTGAATTGAGAAATATGGAGTGAATCAGGCAGATGGCAGCATGGGGGAAACTGAAAGTATACTCAGGCACAGCGCAGCCATGAGCAAACCAAAGCCATGAATGAGAAGAAGCTATGGGGGCAGAGAAAAGATACCACCATGAGGAATCCAGGTAACAAGGAGAGGAAAAAGTGCACTCAGAGGAGCTAACTTGTGAAAGTTTGTTTTTTGCAACAGAAAGTACCTAACAAAAGTTATACCGTTCTTGATTTTTTTGGAGAAAATTAAACTTGAATCTATGGATTTTAATACCATGAGTAAGAAACTAATTCTGAGGGAAACAACACTCTCATACTCATGGGGCCTGGGACCAGAGTCCAAGTAGAGACCACATACCACAGGTCTAAACATTTGAGTTATAAATCAAGCCAACAAACCGTTAAAATATATTTCATCCTCCTACCTTGACAAAGGTAAATATAAAGGTTACAAGTACAATTTCATAACAATCTAGAAGGCCAAGTTCCATGTTAGAACACTTAGATAAAAGTTTTGTTCAACTTTGGGGCTGCCAAAGTTTTTTAAAGAATCGTGATAAGCTGAAGTATGTTTAAAAGTCCGAAGAAGAACCTAAAAAACATACTTTTTGTCAGCCTCTAACAACTAGAATGCATACTTCATGAAGGCAAAGATGTCTGTATTGTTCACAGCTGTGTCCCTAGTGCCTCAAACACCGCCTGACACATTATAGATGTTCAAAAATACTTGTTGAATTAATATGTTTTTTCCAAGGAATTTTTCTGGACTATTTATTCTTTTCACTGATAATAGGGAAGTGAGGTAGTAAACTGGATAGTTGGGGGAAGCTGGTCTAGAATGAAAATTTGTGGTGCATTTGCTGAGTGATTCATAGAGAATATAAAAGCATTATGGTGACTTTGTGGTAGCCGAGTTGAGACTGAGTGAAAAACTTTATGTTCTCAGGTACCATGTTTCCAGTTCCCTAAGCACATGGGACTTTGAGGTATTAGAGTTGCCTGAGTTTTCAGGAGTCACCTCCTTTATCAGACCATGAAGAATGATTATATGAAACTGTTTCAATCCAAGGAATTTCAGACCTAGAAGGAAATAAATTTTTCATAACCATGTACTCAAATGACAACTGAGGCCTGCATAATTGTAAAAGGATGGCTTTAGGTCACACAGGAAGTTAAAGGTAGAATGAGGAGAAACGAGACTTTTCCATATTTCACACTGACCCCTCTAGTGGGAAAGGATCTGAAGGTCAAAGGTTGGAGACACACACACACACACACACACACACACACACACACACACACACACACACACCCCATAAATGCATACACTTTGCTGGCACTACATTTTTTACTTGCAAAGTTCTTACATGCTTTACAAATAGACCTTTCACTCAAACTTTCTTTAAGTCAACTTTTACTGTTTCACTGAGTTTACTGAAATGTCTTACTGCTTCTTTCCAAACAGCATTCAGGTTTGTGTGCACACTGGCCCAAGAGAACACTGCGGTATTTCCAAATTGACCAGTTAGACCATAACCATGAGACCAGTCTCTTTAGTCATCGCATAAGTAAGCCCTAATGAGTCCAAAGTCATGAGGCTCTGTCTGCATAGGGGCCAGATAACTTCATTCCATTTCGTGATCATCAAGTATATTCTAGCAGCACCTATCCTCGTTATTTGTTACAAAAAGAAGACTTTGGTTGCAAGGGAGCCTAACTAAAGAACTAACATTTTCTTAATAATTGAAAATTGTTTCACAAAGTTGTTCATTTATTTTATCCTCACAATGGGATAGGGCAGGTTTTATTAAGGTGACTTTACAGGTGAAGAGGCTGAGACTGACAGAGATGGAGTGATGTCCAAGATTACATAACCAACCTGCTGTGTTTTGGGATGAGAGAGAGCAGGTATTTTTTTTTTTTAAATCTCCCCCAGGTCACTCTATGTGCAGCCAGGGTTGGGTCTCACTGCTCTAGAGAACAAACTAAGGTCAGCCACCCCTTCGTAGTGATATCTCCACCATATCTATCCTTCACATCAGTTTGTCTCAGCACTAGGTAATGTTCTTTGGGAAGAAACATTATCACCCTCCTCAGGTTTCAGAGCTCCTGCTTATAATGTAGACTGACCCTGTCAACTTCTGAGAGCCACACGCTCTGACACGGTGCTTTCTTTGAGGTGCTATGGAGAGGGGCCCATTTCCATGATGACAGCAAGCACTGTGACTAGGCCTTAGGAGGGTTCTGATATTTCCCTTAAACCAAATGCTTTCATTAAAGGAAAATAAAATGTGCTTGTTATTTTCAGAAATCGGAGAATGTAACTCTTTAGCTGCCTGGCCCATGTGCTCTGTACCTCTGTGATCTGAGGTCCAGACTGTTGTGAAGGGTTTCATGTGTAAAGCAGGGAGGGACCTCAAGAACCCAGTGCTGAGTGGCAGGAGGCTGGTCTGTGAAAGGCCACACTTTCCAAACATTGAGGTCCCAATGTTCTCTTCAGTTTTTCTCTCCTGTTATGTACCTTTTCCTTGATGATTGTTTCTTTGTCATTCCCCTCAATCCCCTTGAATTTAGAAGTAACATACGTTCGTAGTAGAATTGGAAAATAGAAATAAGCATAAAGTTATTAAATCA